AGTGACTCAGTTCATACAGCGCAGGACCCTGCTCAGGCGGTGGTCCTGATTACAGCTAAGATGGGTGTTCCCACGTCAGGTAGTTTAATCAAGGCAACCCCTCACAGACACTCTCAGAGGCCAGCCTTGGTGTACAGAACCCTTCACATAAGAGCACAGAGGCCTGTCCTCTGCGCGTCCAGACGACCACGAACACCGACCTTCACTCTATACAGCCCTGGGCTAGAGAAGGCTCAGCCTTCCTGTGTCCTGAGTTGGGGGTGTCCTTCTTTCCTGTTATTCTTACGGTAGTGCTGAGGTTCTTATTGGGCCCTTGACATACCGACAGCCTTGCTCCTGAGTGCCTCGACCACAGTCCATCCCTTGTGACAGAGGTGTTTGGGGGTGGGGGTTTTCCACACTGGCTGGACAGCGCTTCCGCTTCCGTAGTTGGCCTATGGATGGGGAGGTGGGTGGCCCTCCTCAGGCATGCAGGACTTGAACTCCAGGTGACAGCAAAGATGCTCTTACTCTCCAAGGCATTGTGGGATGTTCAGCCCTCACTTCAACAGAAACCGAAAACGCTGTGTACTTTCGACACAGATTGAATGCCGGCTTCACCGACGAAGCAGGCACCTTTAGAAATCTCAATCTACAGAAAAGAAACGGACTTCCCGACGGCTGAGAAAACGTTCCCAAGCCTCTGGTGCGTGATAAAGTTGGAAGTTTGAACCCCGCAGCTGGCTCCAGGATCTGTGCTTTCAACTTGCACTTGATGGAGGACGGGAAAGCAGAACCTGCGGTCATCTTTGAATAGATGAGAACTTAAGGCGGAACCCGGGGTCCCACCGGCAGTCCTGTCCCACCTGACAGGTCCCGGAGTAGCTTCTCAGAGCCAAGTGCGCTTACACAGGTCCTCAAGCCAGCTGTAGGACTGTCTAAAAACCCTCGCTTGTGTAGAGTCGTTACGGGAGGGGCGACATGACCCTCCTCCCCCAGTCCCCGGGACCATCCGACACCCGCAGGGCGAGGCCCACGCAGGGACCGCTCCCTCGGTGGGTGGCAGGGGCACAGGGTGACGCAGAGGCAGGGCGGGGCCCGCGGCCCAAGAACGCAGAATATCAGATTTCTCCCAATGCGCCAATCCTGAACTCCAGGGGATGTGGCCACACCTGGCGGGCGTGGCCAGACGGTGCAAGGGCGGTGGCATCCTGGGCTCGGCGCTGCGCTCCGGGCACCGAGGTGGGCAGGTGCGGGCCTGTGCGGGCCGCGGAGGAGCCCGCGGTTTCCAGCCTCCGAGCCGTCGGGGGACGCCTGTGCTGCGGCGGCGTTGGCTCCTGGGCACCTGCTCCTGGGCGCCGACTGAGGCAAGGTGAGGGCGCCGGCGTCGGCAGGCGGCCCGAGGGACACCGGACGGGTGGGGCCGGGCCCACCGGAGTTGCTGTGGGACGGGGAGCTGGCTTGGGGGCTCTGTTCGGTGTCCCGGCCCAGACTGGGTGCCGGGCCCCCTTCTCCGGGCAGCCGTGGGGCGGCACCGGGCCCCTACTGTCTCACGCTAACTGGACGCTCTTCCCCTCCGGCAGAAAGAGCTCATTCTCGGCCCCGCCCGCTCCACTGTCGGGCCGAGCGGGCGCGCCCCCCACCCTAGCCCCTCCGGTTTTAACTAGCTCCCTCAGTGGCTGGCTCCGGTGGCCCAGGGGGGCACTTCCAAGGCCCCGGGCCCCGGTGGCGGTTTTGGGGGAATCGGTATAAGGGCGATCTGGGGTTTGGCGGGTTTGTTTTCCTTTTTCCGAGTGTCTCAGCACGGTCAGGCCTCTCACCCTGGGCCGGGGAGACGTCTGTGAAGTTCCAGGTAGCCAAGCTGGGTGCTGGGGAGGGTGGCGCCAGGTGTGGCAGCTCTGCGGGTGAGGCCCTCCCGGCCTGAAGGGGCTGGAGGCTGTGCGGAGAGCAGGAAAGTCTCCCGCGCCCCAGGAAGGGAGGCCTGAGCCGCCCTGCCTCACTCTGTGGGTATGAGACGGAAGGTACGGAAGGGAGAAGGCCAAGGGGGTTGCGCAGGGATTGGTGAAGTTGCTAGTTAGATCTGTGTGTCACGCATGACAGCACAGCCTTGTCATCCACCAACTCCAAAGCGCTGGGAGTTCGAGGTGAGGATGTGAATAGGGGCCCAGCGCTTACTGTGGGGCATGGCTAAAATCCAGGGCGCGGCACATCAGTTCCCTTCAGGAAGAATGGGAAACTAGGACAGTCCCAACAGCCGCCTTTGAGAACGCCGAACCTCAGTAGTCCGAGGTCTCAGAAACTGGCCCAGCAGCGGCTGCAGAGGTGGTGGGGTGTTCGTCATGAAGGGCCTGCTCCTGGAACAGGCTGTGAGTGGACAGTTAGTGCCCCAGGGAGCCGAACGTGCCCCTGCCCTCTGCTCACAGGGAGAAGGTGGGTGGTGGCTTTGTCACTCGGAGGGCTTCTATCTGTCAGAGGCACAGAGCTTTCGTTTTCGTGTGGTGGCCAATGGACATGGCAGGGTGCAGGTTCAGTGGCATGAACCTGAAGTCGGATTTGGGTGCCTTCCTCCCGTGGTGGTGGGTCCTCCTCGGTCCTTGTTGGCTTAGGTTTGATCCCTTCTGTGTGGAAGGGGGAAGCTTAGAGGGCAGGGCACAGTGGCAGGGCTTGCCGCCACCCAGAGGGAAGGTAGGGGCCACCTTGTCCCTGGGCCTCAGCTAACTCCGCCATCAAAAGGGCTGACAGCACTGCCAGGACCCTGAGGGCGAGATCACCCTGGTGACACTGTAAGCCTGTGTTGATGAGGAGGATGGTGCTGCCGTCCTTCCTCAGAAGGGTCTCTGTCCTGGGCCACAGCATTTTAAACAAGTAGGAATATGAGTGTACAGAGTGCGCATGTACATGGTGTGGCCAGCATCTTCGCTTCTTTGAGTCTATGTGTGCGACAGAGTGGGGCGGCTGCTCCACCATCAGGGCTGTGGTCGCCAGCCCATGAGTTTGGTTTGGTAAGCCATTCTCCTCTCAGATTCTGGCTGTTGTAAGAATCTCTGCTGGTGAATGGGGATCTCCTGGCGGCTCGGAAGGCAGAGGGTTGCAGAGGAGGAAGCAGGGCGGAGGCAGGCTGAGGGCCACTCAAACTCGGAGAACCCAGAGTGCAGCTCTTAGTCGCCATGTCCAGGGGTGGCTCTGCCTCTTGCCTTGCCAGTGCAGACTGCTGCGAGCTGCTTGCCTTCATTTTTCTCCTGATGGCCTTGAAGGCGCCTTCAGGTGCAGGGCAGACAAGAGGTGGATCTCATGTGTGGGGCAAACGCTGTGTCAGGACTTACTGGGACTGCAGTGGGACTGCCCAGAGCCCAGTGGCTAGTCTGCAGTCCTCTCCCGTGTTCTGACCCTCCCGTGTTTTGACTCTTCTGTGTTCCGGTCTCATCCTCTTCTAGTGAGAGTGGGATCTGGGAGAAGGCAGCACTTGGCATTGGGTATTGACTCCTTTTAAATATTTCTTTTTGAGATAGGCCCTCATGCAACCCAATCTGCCCTCGATCGCCCAGTCCTCCTGCCTTGTAGTCCCCGGGTGTCCACTGGCTCCCTGGTTTAATGGCTCCATGTGATGCCCTGAGAAGCACTAGGGCCAAGAGCAAGGGCTCTAGGAGGCTCTCGGCCCAGCTCAGCTGCCTGGCAAGCTGTGCTCTCAGGGGGAGGTTTCAGTTACAGGACTTGGTAATTGGGTCAGAAGGCTCAGGTCCTACCTGGCCAGAAATTGAGTTGGGTTGAGTTCCTTGTATTTGGAGGAAACCTGGCCAGGAATGTTTTCCTGATGTTAGGCCTCAAGGCGAGGCTCTTCTGAAGATGGTTCGGCTGGCTCAGCTGGACCTGTTTCAGAAGTGTGAGCCTGGAAGGGGCATTCTGGGATGAAGAAGATAGCATTTTCAGCCAGTTTGGATTTCCTCAAGAAGGAACGAGCACAGGCAGAGAACATGAATGACGTTTAGTAATTGACACAGCGCTTGCACACGGCTGCTAGAACAAATATTTGTGGAATGACTTACTTTTTCCAGTTGTCCATTTCTATCTTAAGGAAAAACAAAATAAGAACATTAAAACACCAGACTACCCTGAGCACACCTGGTCTCATCCAAAAACTCTAACACAATCCCTCAGGCAGACAGTTTTCTATCGAATGACTTTCCCTTCTGGCACTGGACCCATAGGCCTTTGTTTTGGTTCGTGGCTGCTGTAGAATGTTATCTGCAGAGTCCATGTTTCTAGGAGAATCAATTGCAGACTTTACCCAGCCTGGCGCCTGGAACCAGTTGGTTTCCTTCAGTGTCTGTGGGGAGATAAACAGGCCCAGGTGAGGAGGCCAGCTTAGCTGCGGAGGGCTTGACTGTGGCAACGGGATTCGGTTGTCTTAGTTTTCCCAAGCTCACGAAAGCTGTACCTTGGGTGCTGGAGGCCAGCTGGAACTCCTTTTGCTACAAGCCAAGGGAAAGGAAGGCTGTGGGGCGATGGACACTCTGTCTGCTCACCCAAGTGAGAACTTTGGACCCGGGGCCCGGGCCTCGCCTGCTTCCTTCAAGTAGCCATGTCACTCGTTTTCCATTGTCTTCTTGGAAACACAGTCTCTTTAGCTTCTGGCCCATCTGTCTTCTGTCCCCAAGACTCTCCTGCCCTCTCCTGAGGCAGGACTGAAAAGAACAGTTGCCCTCGCCTTGCAGAGCCCCTGGGGAAGCTGTGCCCCTGCAAGGTGACATCACCTCGTTTCTCTGCCTAAGCAGAAGAAATGCGATCTGCTTGCATGATAAGTCCCATTTGGCTGGAGCGTGAAGTATAAATGGCCTTGCAGTAAGAATCAAAAGAACCCTTTTGCCTCTTTTCTTTCCCTCTGTCTGGCACAGTTTATTGCCATATTTAATTTCTTTGCTGTAATCCAGTGAAACTGTAGCCGAAGTGCATGGGAACAGAGGCTGGGAAAGTCCCCGGTGCCTGGCCCCAGTCTCCCATTCTCCCATTCTCCCTCCTCCCAGATCATGGCCCTCCACCCTCGAAGAGTCCGGCTGAAGCCCTGGTTGGTGGCCCAGGTGGACAGTGGCCTCTACCCTGGTCTTATCTGGCTACATAGAGATTCCAAACGCTTCCAGATCCCCTGGAAACATGCCACGCGGCACAGCCCCCAACAAGAGGAAGAAAACACCATTTTTAAGGTAAAGAACTTCCTTCTGCCATCTGAGTTGAGTTTTGTTCCAGCTCTCTGAGGCCGTTCTGGGTTTGTTCGATTTCTCTGTTCTGGCTCTCTGGTGCAGGGGGATGCATACAGTGAGATGTTCAAACCGTGGTCCTCAAGCTAAGTCTATGAGGCTGGAGACTGTTACATTCCCTTTGGCTGGAAGATACTCAGTTCATATCCCAACGGATCAGGGGGCAGGGTGTGTGTGTATTTGCCTGTGTGTGTGTGTGTGTGTGTGTGTGTGTGCGCGTGTGTGTGCGTGTGAGTGTGTGTGAGTGCAGGCACCCTTAGTGGTCAGAAGATTGGATTCCTGGGAGCTGGCAGATGGTTGTAAGCTGCTTGATGTGGGTGCTGGGAGCCAAGTTACTCAGGTCCTCTGCTAAGCCACCTCTCCAGCCTCACGTTTTTATTCCAGCAATATCTTTCTTCCTTCTTTTCCCTTTCTTTTCCTTTCTCCTTTCTCCTCCCCTTTTGTCCCCTCTCCTCTTCTTATTTTTTCACCTCTTTTTCATTCCTAAGGATCAAGTCCCAGGCTTTGTGCACACAAAACCTATACATTACCACCAAGCTACATCCCAAGCCCAAATTATGTTCTCTTAAATAACAAGTAATTTCTCCATGGTTTTCATCGTAGTTAAGATGAGATTTAGTCACATAGCGCTTTACTAAATTTCACTGAAACCAAAGCCTGACTTCAGACAGAGGTTGGTGGGCAGTGGTTGTGGAAGGGTTTTGTGGATACAGTTCAGGAACTGCGTCTTCACTCTACAGCAACTTCACCCTTCCATCCCAGGAGTAGCTTTGGTCCCTGCCACTCGCAATGCGCAGTGAGCTTGTCCTCTCTTACTTGCCTGTAAGCTGGAAGGCTGTCCTGACTGCAGGATCAGGGCAAGCCCAGGGCTCTGAGGGAAGCCATCCTGTTGCCCACCTGTGTCAGGTGTGGAGGGGAGAGGCAGAGAGAAAATTTGCCTGAGAGTGCTTTGAAAGCGTGTAAATGAAACACTTACTGTAGGTATGAGCATTATGAAAGAGATAAGGGAAACCTCTGTGGACCAGTGCCCACGCCGAGTAAGGGACAAGCTTGCCTAGGCCCCGTCGCAGCCCTCGCAGCCTTGCTCTGGGCCTGAGCTGGCTGTTGAAGTATCTGACCTGTCACATGAAAAGGCTGATTTTGTAAGGCCCGCTCATGAGGGTGTGAGGAAAGCTTTCACTGGTGTGTCTGTTTATAGAATGCTGTTAGAAGAGAGGATATTCACACAGATCCGACACTCTGACAAACTTTTGGTGAGATGCAGAAATGAGGCACCAGCCTGGCACCTGTGTTCCCAATGTCACTACTCTCACAATGACCGAGGCAAGTCTTTCTCCATCCCGTGTTGTAGGTGTAGAAGCCATCAGTGGAGCTAGCTCATCAGTCAGTGCTAGCTCCAGGATTTGAACCCATGTCTCTGACTCCATTCTGTCCCCGTATGATCTAAGTGGGAAACGAACTGTCTGACCTCAGCTTCTGTAACCACCAACCCCGTGGACAGTCTTGAGCAAAGCATGCCCCATCTGGCCTCCAGTTTTCCCTTTGGTTAGCTGGGGTGGAGCCAGTTCGTCCGCTTCTTAGAATTGTCATGAAAATCAAGTGAAGTGTGGGGGGATATTTGTGAAGTACTATAAAAGTGTGGAGATAGGAACCATTTTAGGAAGAGAAGGAAGGCCTCCACAGCGACCAGCCTCAGGGAGGGTCTGAACAAGTACGGTTTACACATCAGTGTTTGCCCATGTGCGCCTCACGGCCTTCCCTTCTCAGTCCCGAAGCTGCGCTTGTAAGGGGTGTCACTGTGTCAGCTGAGCTGGCTGAGGAGATGGTGGGTCTGAGCAGGAAGCTGGGCCGGGCTGGGGCTCGGTTGGTCCAGCTGTGAAGGAGCAGGGCCTAAGGGAATCACAGGGAAGCACAGACTTCTTCCAGAATCTGCAGCTGGAGTCAGCCGCCCAGTCAGAGCCAGTGTGAATATGGAGGGTCAGACGAGCTGAGGGCACATAGGGAGGCAGCAGGCAGACAGCCCAGGTAATAGCACGCTTTCCTCTCAGACACCAGGAGCAGTGAACTGAGACTCCCTATGGATGGAGCCAGCCTTGGCCACCCTGGTGCCTGCTAAGCCACACAGGGCAGCTCAGCACTGTTGCTATTTTTCATCCTAGACTGCAGAGGAAGCCAAGTCAGAGAAGGTGGCTAGAGAAAGTGAGTCTGAGTTGAAAGAAGAGACTTAATTAACCTTGGACACCGCTGTTCTGCAGGGCGGGATCTCAAAGGAGGGTGCAAACGCTCAGTTTCAGCTTAAAGAAAAAGCCTGTGCTGTTGTATCGTGGTGCATACCTAAAACCCTACTACTCTGGAAGCCAAAGCAGGAGGAGTGCTGTGAGATTTTGAGGCCAGCCTGAGCTTTGTAGGGAGAGTCTGTTTCAGAGAGAGAGAGAGAGAGAGAGAGAGAGAGAGAGAGGTCCTGTGTGGCAAAGTTTGGAGAAGTAATCTGCCCTGACAGCCTGAAAAGGTTCAGGTGGTGCTGGTGGTTGGCTCAGAGCCTAAAGGCAGGTGTCGCTCGCTATGCCTCATGCCCTGAGTTCAATCCCCAGAACCCACATGGTGTAGAAGGATTCCCACTTCTATACACTAAATAAATAAAATGTAATGGAAATTAAACATTTAAGCAGGAGAATACTCTTGCCTGAGGAATGGCCCCTGATGAGGCCTTCTGCCTTAGGAAAAGCCCCTAATGAGGTCTTCTGCATTAGGGAACATGAAGAAGCTTGCTGCCCAGAGGGCAGATGGCCAGCGGGGAGCCTGGCCAGTCTGGGAGGGGACCTGGAAAGCGGGGCTCAGCTGCTCATCCTGGGACATTCCTGAGGGGCTGGGTCTGTTCTTCAGAGGCTCGTTTCCCTCTTCTCTCGGGGCAGACGACTCCACTCCTCTCGTCTGCATCAGCTCTTTGGCCTCCTATGTTGGGAAAACAGAGAGGAAGCTTCAAAGTGGTTTTTAGGCCTGTAGGCCACTGCATGAGGTTTCCAGTGAAGGGGAAGTTTGAAGAACTGGGAAGAAATACGTGCTGAGTGTGTAACGACTGATGCCCTCAAGTGTGAGAGGGAGAAGCTGAACTCTAGGGCATGCATCCTGGAGGCCTTTTGTTTTGTTTTATTGAATCAAGGTCTCACTCTATGGTACAGGCTGGTCTTCAACATATTCATGATGTTGCTCAGACTAACTCCAGACTCACTGTCCTCCTGTTTTAGCGTCTTAAGTGCTGGTCTGTCAGGTAGATAGCACCACACCTGGCTCCTGAAAGTCTCTATATCATCTGCAACTACCTTTTGTGGTACTTTCTGGATGAGCTATTCTTGCTTTAAAAGAGAGCCTGGCAAGGTGGAGCATGCTTCATTTTCATGCCTGCAGAGGAGAAAAGGTCTGCCTAACGCCCTGCAGTACAGCGTTACCCCAGACTTTAGTGTCGGCGTTGCTGTCCGGGCAGGTGCTGGTGCTAAAGCCTGAACTAAAGCTCCCTTCCAAGCTCTGTTTGCATACAGCTTGATCTCTCTTTGGTTACCTTGGCTGGTCCTAAGGTCAGTATTATCCGCTCCAATGTCAAGGTTGGTGTTAGGAGCACTAACAGGTGTGCGTGCAAGTGTGTGTGCATGTGAGCACATGTGAGGGGTGTGTACAGGCTTGGCAGTGGTTCTCCATATGGTCAGCATTCCCGCTGTCTCCTCCCTCAGGCTTGGGCTGTGGAGACTGGGAAGTACCAGGAAGGGGTGGACGATCCTGACCCGGCTAAGTGGAAGGCTCAGCTCCGCTGTGCTCTCAACAAAAGCAGGGAGTTCAACTTGATGTATGATGGCACCAAGGAAGTGCCCATGAACCCTGTGAAGATCTACCAAGTGTGCGACATTCCTCAGCCCCAGGGCTCTGTCATTAACCCAGGTGAGACCCGAGGCTCGAGGCTCGCAGGGAGAAAGGAAATCTGGCCTCTCCCTGGGAAGAGCTCCGAGAGCAGACGGTATAAGGAGTTACAGAATGAGGGCTTCAAGTAGAAGGTGGATGAGGGCACAGTTCTGCTATAGGACAGCCTCTCTTGGGATGTGGGGTAGGGGAGAAGGGGGAGCTCTAGAGGGTTTGTTGCCCAAACCTGGCTCTTACCACTGTCTGACTGCTGGACTTGAATTGAGTTACTGAGCATGTTGATCCTCTTTCTTTCATATATATATATGTTGTTGTTTTGAGACAGGGTTTCTCTGTGTAGCTTTGGTACTCCTGGACTAGCTTTGTAGACCAGGCTGGCCTCAAACTCACAGAGATCCATCTGCCTCTGCTTCCCCAACTGCTTGGATTACAGGTGTGAGCCACTGTGTCGTGCTGAGCCTCTGTCTTTTCAAAGGCTACTAGTAGAGCCAGTGGCCATGACCTGGCCAGGAATGATACAAAGAGCCGGATAGTCAGGCTTATTGCCCAGTCAGGCCTGCCATAATGGAGGGGTCGTGGCCCCCTTCTGTGTGATTCACAGAGGAGAAGAGTGAGTAATCGGGGCCCTTAAAAGGGATGCTGATGTGTAGAAAGCCACTGTAGTAATGTGAAGGGATTTCTAAGGCAAGAAAGCAGAGCTTGAGCTTAGACTTTGTGCAAGGAATTACAACTCTCCAGAGCTCGTCAGGGCACACTGAGCTTGAGGGGTCTCTGGCCTGGTGGTGGGTCAGCTGTTGAGATGGTGGTGAAACAATCTGCTTTTCTGTGGGCTCGTGTGTCATGGGTAGGATCCACGGGGTCTGCTCCTTGGGACGAGAAAGATAACGACGTGGATGAAGATGAGGAGGAGGATGAGCTTGATCAGTCACAGCACCACGTCCCCATCCAGGACACCTTCCCCTTCCTGAACATCAATGGTGAGTGGGGTGCTGCGCAGGGGTGAGGGGAATCACAGCCTTTGCCTTCGAATGATGGCCTCTGACCCGTCAAAGGCCATTGAGCCAGCCACCACTGCTCAGGGCTGGGCGGCTGTGGCGGGCTCCCCAGCCAGACTGCTGCTGTGTTGGAAAGCCGGATCACAGGCAAAAGATCTCTGATGCCTCGGATATTCCAGGGCAGGAGGGTGGGTTCTAGTGTTCTAGAGAGCCTTCAATTCAAAGAAATAAAAAAGCATAATTCATTCCCTGTGGAAGATAAATTTGGGAAGCTTGCTTCAGGGAAGTTATATATCCTGTTTATGGATTGTAGTTAAACCACCAGTAGTTTACCTGGTATGAACTCCGAGTCACATCCTTAGCAGAATTCATTCTGCCATGGAAAACGTGATTCTAGCTGATGGTACCTGCCTCTGGTGGGTTTATCTCTAAGAATCTTCTTTTATCGGTTTTTGATTTTGAAAGCTTTTTGGTAATTTTATTGGTGTTTGAAAACTCCCCGGACAGGCAGGCTGTAAATGTTGACAACTGCCAGGAGGAGGAAGATGGGGAAGAGAAAGAGGGAAAGCCATGCTGTTTGGGTTGACCTGGCATGTAGGCCTTCCTGAAGCCCTAGGAGCCTCATGGCATCTTTGGAGCAACACCGTCTTGTGTGGACTTGTGCATTCAGTTCTCCAGGAACGAGGCTTGGAGAACCTGGGACCTGCTGTGTAGCAGCGGGGTCTGAGTCTGCAGACGCCAGGACCCCACTGTGCTCTGGGTTGCCCTGCTGAGGCATCCTTGCCCCATCTGCGCACTTTACACTGACTGAGCTGGGGGTCAAATGATGTCATTCCTGCCACCTGGCAAATCCAGTGAGCGGAGATGCTGCCTTCGGGTCTGGGTGGCTTTTTTAGCTATTCGCCTGGAGTCAGGGAACGACAGTGTTTGATCACTGCTGCTTTAGTTTTCCTGCCCCTTCCCTCCTTTTTCCCCGTGTTTTTTGTTTGTTGGTTTATTTTCTTTTGGAAACAGAGTCCTATGTAGCTCCCTTCCTGGCCTAAACTGGCCACGTAGACTAGGCTGGTGTGGACTCAGAGATCCACCTGCCCCTGCCTCCCAGTGCTGGGGTTAAAGGTGAGTGCCATCACTTCTGTGTGGCTTTTGGACCTTTGCAAACAAGTGATGGCTAAAACTTTTATGGGGGCTTCAGAAATGGTTAGGTAGGTAAGGGCATGCATGATAGAATTTATTTTGCAATCATTTGGTTCCAGGGCATTTGCTGTCTCTGGCCTCCTTGGGCACCTGAACTTTGTGCTCACACATGTCCACACAGTTAAAAACAATGAAAATACATATCTAAAAAGAAAAAAAAATCTTTGTGCAGATCTAATCTAGACGGCCTCACTGCACTGTGCTCTGTCACTCAGCGAAGCTGTTAATGCTGGGCCTTTGAGCTGAGTGAGTTGTAGATGCCTGTGAGCACTGTCTGTGCATGGCACAGACCGAGGGTCATTACAAATCTGAAGCCAGGCTGGTCTAGTGAGAGCCTTTCTCAAGAAACAAAACACAAAAAAATGAAACAAACAAAAAAAAAAAAATACCAAAACAAGCTGGTTACAGAGAATTGGAAATTCTTGTCTGTCACTCTGTTGCCATTCCTTGGAAAGCTGTGGCCTGTTTCCAGTGTCCTGGCTTCTTATGTTACAGTAATGCTGTGTTTCCTCAGTTTGAGGCTTCCTTGACTCTCTTTTAGAAAGTTGTAGCATATACATTAAAAACAGGAATGTAAGATGGTTTCATATTTAATGTAAAGGGTCAAAGAACATTGGCCTCTATGATTTCAGAGTCGTGGAGGAACAGAGGTGGAAGATGGAGGCGTGTGTGTATGTGTGTGTGTGTGTGTGTGTGTGTGGTGGGTAAGCCAGCACTGATGGCAGCAGGAAGTAGAGCTGGGTTCCTTTCCCTTTGTTTTAGCTCTGTGGTTGAGATTGGTTTGGAACCAGTGATCCTACACCTGCAGCTTTCTGGGTGCTGGGATTCCAGGCATGCACCATCAAACCTGTCAAGGACTAGGGTTTTCATTCTTTCTTGAAAAGCTGTAATTGAATCTGGTGAATTAATGAACCTTTCATGTGGCTTAGAATTTATAATCGTGTAAGTAGATGATCCACTGAATGGCTTTCTTTGCATCCTATCTCTGAGCCTTGTAGCTCATTAACTGACACAGACAAACTTAGCTAGCTTCTTGGGTATTGTTACTCTCCGGGCAGTCTTTAATTGTTTTAACTTTATGTGTGTCAGCGTCTTAACTGCACGCCTGTGCCACACGAGGACCTTGTGCTTGTGGGACCACAAGAGGGTGTGGGTCTCCTGGAACTGGAGTTACAGACAGTGGTGAGCTGGGAACTGAACCTGTATCCTCCGGAACAGCAGCCAGTGCTCTTAACCACTAAGCCATGTATCTAGCCACCTTCCAGTTTAATGTTTTGTTGCATTTTTATTTATTGTGTGTCCCTCTCCCCATGCATGTGGAGGTCACAGGACAACTTGTAGGAGTGACTTTTCTTCTTGTGTAGATCTGGGCTCTGAACCAAGCCTGTCAGGCTTGGCAGCAAGTGCTTTTACCCAGTGAGATAACTAGCCGGCCCCCTTCTAAGATGATGATTGCAAAATGCATTTGTCATAGTAGAGCGTCTGCCCAGTGACACGCGCTTGAGCCAGTGAAGATGCTTGGCCACCACGTACACACTTCGCAGTGCTCCCTCAGGAAGACATTAGTCACTGTGTACACACTGCGC